AGAGAGAGAGAGAGAGAGAGAGAGAGAGAGAGAGAGAGAGAGAGAGAATACTCTTTGGTTGTTGTTGTCAATGACTTGTCCAAGGTCACAGAGGTAGTAAGTACCAGAGCTGGGACTGGAACAGAGGTCTTCTGATACCAAATTCCCTCCTCTTCCCAGTACACACCATTGACTTTCTAAGAACCATTTGGGGGCAGCTACGTTGCTCAGTAGTTAGAGTGCTGAGCCTGGAGTCAGGAGGACCTTAGTTCAAATTTGGTCTCTTTAACTGTGTGACCCTGGACAAGTCACCTAACCCTGTTTGTCTCAGTTTTCTCATCTGTAAAATGAACTGGAGAAGGAAATGGCAAACCACTCTAGTACCTCTGCCAAGAAAACCCCAAATGGTGTTACAAAGAGTTGGACATGAACTGAAACAATTGAACAACGACAAGAAGAATTATTTAAGGGAGAAAACCTCATCCTTTTCCCTCCTTGGAAGAATCCTTCTAAACCAAATGTTTCTAAAGTCTTAATCAGCCAGCCCTTTGAAATTATTTTCTTTCAGTATAGCTCCATTTTCAAAAGGAAAAGATCCTTTGATCCCTACGTAATGATAGACCTGCACTAGGCTGGTCCAGTATCTTCTTAAATGAAGCAACTCGGTTACCACTGCCCAATGCTTTCTGCAATTTCAGCTAGAGCAGACTGTTCCAGTGAGAGGAAGGCTAGAGGCTTGAAGAAATTGTTCTCTTCTCTAGGTTTGTAGCCAGTTAGCTTTCTAGAAGGACTGAAGAAGGTGAAAATAAATGCAAATGGCCCGAGAAAGCTTTACAAACATCATTTGTTCCATTTTATATTCTGGTGGAAACCATCCATGCGTATCAGCCTTCCTTAGCCCCATCTGAGCCCAAGATAATTCCAACAGCATGGTGAGCCATCGCAGCAGAGGTGCCCTCCTTCATCTGTATTCACTCTCCATTTCAGTCGCCCTTTACAATTTGCTCATGGGATGCTTCTCAAAAGCAAGTTCAAAAGTTAATGTGAAAAAATGTCTATGTGTTATTGCTATCTAATTTCCGCATCATTTAGAGGTAAGTGTTTCAGCCAGGAGGGCTGTTGGCCTGCCTTTGTCTTCCCATCCATTTTACCTGTGTTGGCCTTAGGAGTAGGCAAACACAAACTACAGAATAATAGGAAGGCATCCATGCCCTTCAAACATGCCCTCCTTAACCTGCCCATCAATGTCTGAAATACCAGAAATAGAGAATTTATTCCTTGGGGTTTGGGAAGATTTGGAGTTTTCAAGGACCTAGGAAAAGTCACATACCCTTGCAAAATGTAAACTTCTCACCCAGGAAGGGCCCAAGAAAAATAATAATGATAAAAACCAACAATAACTAACATTTATATAGCCCTGAAGCTATCTAACTTTAGGAAGGAAGGAAGGAAGGAAGGAAGGAAGGAAGGAAGGAAGGAAGGAAGTGCCCAAGAAAAATAACAACAACAACTAACATTTATATAACCCTGAAGATATCTAACACTTTAGGAAGAAAGGAAGGGCCTAAGAAAAAAATAATAACAATAACAACTAACATTTATACAGCACTTACCATGTGCCAGACACTGTGTTAAGCTCTTTACAATTATTATCTCATTTCACAACAACCCTGGAAGGTAGGTGCTATTATTATCCCCAATTTATAGATTAAGAAACTGAGGTAAACAGAGGTTAAGTGACTTGGCCAGGGTCACACAGCTAGTAAGTGTCTGAGGCCTGATTTGACCTTAGGACCAGTGCTCTATCCACTATGCCACAGGAAGATGGTAGGGAGACATCAAAGACAAAAATCCCTTTTCCACAGTTTTGTCAGGGCTCCACCAGTATTTAGGTTGTCAGCCTACACAGACTGTGGGTCCATATTCTGAAGAGCACTGCTACAATTAGACAACTACCATGTTGGACACAACACAGCATAGCAATTGGATGCCAATTAATTACAATGAACAATCTTGGTTCTGGTAAACAGAGGATAGAACACACATCCCTCCTCTTGGTAGAGAGGCTGAGAACTACGAGTGCAGAAGTGACATATATTACTGTTATCAGACTTGGGTCCTTTGTGGATTTTTCCCTGCTTTTTTTTAAAAGGAAGATACAAGGGGATGGAGAGAGTATAGTGGAAAATGACTAAGATTTGCTTTAAAAAGCATCAATGAACAAAGGAAAAAGCACATTGAAGTACATTGATGCTCTATAGTTGATATATTTTAAAAGCATGGATACTAAACTTTTTAATCTCCATTTTCTATCATGTCTAGGCACATTTACCCACAGATCTATCTTCCAAAATCATTACAGACTCTCATATAAAATCCCTAGGGTATAAACAGCAGACAACCTGAAACTCTCATTTTTCTTCACATCTCTGTTAACAAAGTTCCCCCTAGTCACCAGCCACAGCTTAATGATACATAACAAAGCTTTCTAAAGAACACCCCAAGTAAGACCTCATCAGGTAAGAGAAAAATGTCGTGGCCATGCTGAAGCTATACAGCTATAAACCTTGCTAAGATGTTCTTGTTGAGTCATTTCTGTATTATTCTACTCTTCATGACCCCTTTTGGGGTTTCCTTGGCAAAGATACTGGACTGGTTTGAAACTTTCTTCTCTAGCTCATTTTATGGATGAGGAAACTGAGGCAAACAGGTTAAGTGATTTGCCCAGGGTCACACAGTTACTAAGTGTGTCTGTGACCAGATTTGAACTCACAAAGACAAATTTTCCAGGTTCTAGACCAAGTACTCTACCTACTGGCCACCAGCTGCCCCAACAGACCTGGCTGAGTTTAACCCCAACTAAATAAATGAGTGACTACAATTTCCACTGCTGATGATACACCATAGGACCATAGAAAGTGGTATGTCGGTGAATGTTTAACAACTGGCTCTCCAGAAAGAAAGACAAAAAAGTACACTCAACATACTTTTAAGTTTAATCTGCATTATTATCATTTTCTCTATCACTTAAGTCTATACAATCAACAAAACCACAGATCAAGCCTGGGTTTGTAGCATTTGCTGATTTCCAAGGTGTAAATGTTCACACTGAAAATTCAACAGTTGGGTCTAAAAAGCTGATTCTAGCTAGCTCCAGCACACCCCTAAATAGATGAGAGTTAAAGCACAGGTCTATATCCTTCCTTTATTTAAGAAGTATCTATAGTTCCCTATTCCCTCCAAAAAGAAAAAAATCTCTAACTGGCGGTTTAAAAAACCTTTACAGTCTGACTCCAGCCAGCTTTTTAGACTTA